ACACAGACCCCACAGCTTTGTTTTAGGAGCGCTTCATTGAACAATTCTAGGGAAAACTGCCATTCTATTAAGTGATTATTAAAAGTATACGAGTTCAGTACAATATATATTGTATATCTTGTTCAAGGGCAGGCATGATATTGTCTACGACATCTTTTGATCCTTGTGCTGTCCTTGTGGTTCTACTGAAATAATAAGGAAAATGTATTGAGCGCTTGCTGTATACCTGGCCCTGCTGTCATTTTCTTTGCAAGTTTCACACAAATTCCCACAGTTGTCTAGTAACACTGTTAATATCTTCATCACCATTTTAGAGGTGAAGACGCTAAGGCAGAAAACACGGGGTGGACATCTTGCTCAAACTGCACAGAGATTATCAGTTAGAAGAGCCTGAGTTCAAAGGTCTTTTGACTCCAAGGCCCTCAAAATGCCACATTCACTGTCGTGATTACTTGTAAAATACATAAGTCACCCCCCTTCGTATCTTTTGTGGTAAGAATAATGTACATATGGCCAGGAAAACCAAATGACTGGGGACAACAGTAACGTGAAAATGTGTTTGTAGTCACCCTTTTCCAAGTTCCCTTATGCTTCCCCAGGGAGGCCACCATTGACAGATCATTGTCATCCCTTGAGAAAATGTTCTAGAATATAGTAAGTTGCAGATGACTTTAAGATCTACTGAAATAATAAGGAAAATGTGTTGAGCGCTTGCTGTGTAACTGGCCCTGCTGTCATTTTCTATGCAAGGAGAAACGTGTTGCCTTCCCACCAGCCTGGTCCCTGAGCCACATCAGTCCCAAATAGCACCCAAGACACTATATTGATTATGAAGCTGTTGGCCGTTTGCTTGGTTTCTTATCAGCTAGCTCTGACTTGATTATTAACCCATAATTACTTATATATATTTTACAAGAACTTATCTTTGCTAGGATGCACTCCTACCGCATCCGTTCCTCCCTGGAGTCACATGGCGACCAGCCTCTTCACTACATTTCCCAGAATCCTCCTCGACTCCTAGTCCACCTATCTTGTTTCCCTACTGGCCAACAGTGCTTTATTGACATATACACAGGACTCTCCCGTCATCTCTTTTCTGTCTAAACAAAAAGGTTTTAACTTTATCCCCTTCTGTGTAGTTTAATATTTCTATACCCCACACCACTGCCCTGTGTTTAATCTAAAAGACACTCTTCAAGGTCTTCTCATTTCCACACGCCTAGGTTACTTTTCCCATGACTGCAGTGTTCTCGGTGACTGCTCTGTTTCCTGACTTAGCCTGTCGCTATTAATAGACAACAAGGCTGTCTTTCAGGTGTGCCTGTGAGACACAAAATCTTAGGAGTCCAACTTGATTTTTTTGTGCATATATATAGTATCGACACATAAATCTCACCAACTTTGTTTTCACACCCTCTTAATAGAACACACACTATCAGACATTTTTCCAATTTGATAAATGCAAAATGTCTCCCTGTCCTAAGGAGCTTTTCATGTGTATTAACTGTTTTTATTTTTCATTCATGTCTTCCTATGTCCTTTGCTCATTTCTTTTATTATTGGTTTATTTCCCTAATTCATATAAGTTTTTAGTGACATAAAGAAATTAGCCTTTCATCCTATGCTACATGTTTCTTCTCAGTTTGTCATTTATTTTTGGCACTTATAGTTTCCCATTAGCAGTTTTACTTTAGCATACATTCTATCTAAACACTTTAAATTTGGACTTCTGCTTCTAAGTAATTTCACCACCATATCGATCAAGTCATTTATATTTTTCAGTATCTAGGTGTTCCACCAAGTGAGCGTCAATCATGATGGAAGTAAATCATTTCTGAACTCACAATAATATAAGTGGAAATTCTACTGACAGCTTTTAAAGAACATTTCCATTTCAAAACATAAGAAAGCCTTTGCCTTTAATGGATTTGATCACAAGCCCCCTTTCTGAATGGCATTCGCAGCAGTCTTAGGTGACTGGACAGTCAGAAAGCTCTGCTTCTTTTGCTTGGCTGTGGCACATTTCTCAGTTCCTGTGACTGACCCGAACCCCTGCAGCCTTCCCAGCGAAGAGTCAGCAGCACCAAATGGGCTTGAGGGCCTTCAATAGTGTCTGGGGTAATACTGTAGCTGATACATTAAGGGTGTGAAAGGGACTCCTGTGTCCTCACCAGAGGCAGTTAAAGACAACAACAATAATAATAATAATAATAATAACAATTTTGTATTTGTGGTGATGGGGAATAGGGATGGGAGTGGAAATCAGCCTGAATTTGAACTGGAGATAGAGCCGGTTAATCTGAGTTCTTTTGATAGTTGCAATGACAAAGGACAGCAGAAGACTTGCAGGTACTTCCGTTGGTAGATTAGAAGGACTTGTCAATATTTACCAGATAGTGAGTCTGCTCCGCGCTCAAACGCATAAGGATTCTATAGTGTCCCCAAAACAAGCACAAAGGTAGCATCCTAAACTCCGAAACACACGCATTGACTTAAGAGTAAGTTTAGTTTCCAGGGTGGGCTTGAAACTTCCTTTTCCTTTTCCTTCGCTAATCCCGTGGCCTTGGCATTTGGTCACTGAGTGTGTTCTACTCTAACATTACAAGGGAGAAGAGCAACACCAAGCTTGTGCACTGAGTGCCCTTATCCACTGAGCCGTCTCACTAGCCCCCAATTATTAAAAAAAATCATTAGCTGAAGTAATTGGGAAATAGCGTATGAGTAGTTTTACCACCATATCGATCAAGTCATTTGGAGTACAGCTGCAACCATTGGCCACCCCGAGAGTGGCTCCTAATCTTTTACAGATGTGCAGGAGATAAGATATAATGTACCAGAACAAAGAGACCTTAGGCTCTGCAAATAAGTGAGAGTTGACACATTGTGTCCCTGTAGCAATACAATGTTAAAGCACGTTACCCATTTAGCTTGCACACTTAAATTCTAGAGATAAAGAGCATCCTAGAGTTTTAGTAAAACCCTGAATATTTAGTAACTGTCTGTTTCTGTTCTAGAATTTCTGTTTAGATGCAGGCAGTTATTACATCTCTTGATGTTTTGCATATCTTTTAAGAAACAAAAACCAGGTATTTCCAAGTAATAATTTCATATTTGAAAATAATACCTTAAGCCCGGAGGCTATAGCAAGAAGATATAGTTCTGAAAATTGTCCATCTTGGTTACTTAGTAACCAACTCCATGATGGATCTGCTCAAAGACAAAGCTGGGGAGCTGGGCTGCCAGGAATAGAATGTTGCCAGATTGCAACTCCAGTCTTTCAGATTGTCTAATGCTAAGTTTACCCAGTGTATTATGCAGAAGCAACCGATTAAGTTCACATGGCTTTAGAAGTGCATGCCGTCATTAGATGGTTTTTACCATGCATAAAGAATTGCTGGTCTGGCTCCCAGTATATTGTCACTCTAGTCTGCTAAGAACTGGGAATGAGTTATTATTCAGCCAACAGGTCATTCTTGACTCTTTTCCAAAAGAAGCTGGGCATCCTGAGTGGTCCTGGATGCTTGAGAGAGGGCTTCTTTTCCTCTGCCCGTCTTGCTATGATCCACTACCCCCACTGGCAGAACTAATAAAACCTGTCTACCCAGCAGGGTCGCAACTCTGGCTACACTTGTACCAGGCTGTTCTTGGTGGCTTGTAATTGATCCCAGAAAGCGTTTGATCCCCTTGCTCCATCCTCTGCCTTCCCAGGGTAGCAGTACAGAATCAAAGACATGTTCTGATGACTTGATCCTACCCTGAATCAACTTCCCACTAGCCCAGGGCCAATCAGCCTCCATTTCTTCCAAAATTCAACAGTGAAGTTAACGTCCATCTTGGCGCACCAGTTTTCCAAACGGAATTACAGAAAGTACCTTGTTCAGAGCTGGTGACCTAATAGGCACTGAATAAATAGTCATTGTGGCGATAATAATGGTTCAGTCTTGTGAGAAGTGACAGCATTTAAATCATTCTTATTTCTCGCATTTCAGAAATGGGAGGTGCCTCTGGGCTCTAGGCCCAAAGACCACAGATTATATTGAAGGGATTCAGTGAGAAGATCAAATAAAATGCAGCTAGATTCAGTTTCCAAGGCCATGTGCCATTTCGTGTATTTTGAAACACCCTAGTTTATTGCTTCCATTGTCCTATGTGGCCACTCCCTTCCCTTCCCTAGAAAACCTATGGCAATCGTTCCATTATTGATATGTGACGACTCTCTCCTTACTAAAGTGGGCTTACATGATTCAAACACGAGGCATGTTATTACAGACACACACAGATACACACACACACACACACACACACACACACACACACACACACACACACACACGCTCTCAAGATGCCCCACCTCAAAGCTCAAATCCCCAATTTCTGTCTCCCTCACAGATCCCATTACTGTCACTCTGTTTAGAAATGTTTTGGGTAAGATTCTGTCCCTAAACATACACACCTAGACTGACACTGCTGTCATAGAAACTCGCATCTGTAATCACAGTGTTGGTTCAAGCCACTCCTGAAAGCCAGGACTTCTGCCTGCTTCTATGTGGCTGACTCCAGACAGAGGTGCCAAGTTCAACTACGGCAACGGCTCCAAGATAAACTTCTGGGAAAAACTACTGATCAGTAGTCTTCCTTTTGCTTATCCTTGGGGTGGTTGGTGTGAGCTGTTCGTGGGAGCAGCGGCCCAGGGAGGGTTGGGATTTCTTACCCGGCTTGGGTCACTGTTTATAGTCTGCAGGAGATTGGTCTTTGGGAAACCATCTGCGGGGGCCTTCTGTTCTAGACTGTTTATGAAACGGTGTCTTGTGCTTTCTCTCGTCTGCCCCGAGGAAAGCACAAAGCTTTTTGGAAGCTCTGGAATGTTGGCACTTGGAGGGGCAGAGCATGCAGCTCGGGGAGCTGGGACCGGGGAGGCAGGGCGCTGGCTCCTGTCCTTGGCTGACTCTTGTTTCCTTGACGCTTCTCTCTCCCCTTCCCCCCCCCCCATTGTTTTTCAGGCAGCGAAGCAGATTTTAGCTCCTCCAGCAGCACAGGTAGCATGTCGGCTCCCGAGGTCCACATGTCCACCGCAGGAAGCAAGCGATCGTCGTTCTCACGCAAGTAGGCACCGACTCCCACTCTGTAATTATGGGACTTGATGCAGGGGACTTCCGGGCCACAGGTTTCTGTGCAACCACCTGGCCTCTGAGATTGTCATTAGTGCTCAGGCTGATTGCTAGGTACCCCAACTGGTGGTTTCCTCGCTTCGCCCACTGTCCTCACGTGACTGAGCCTGCTCTCTCCCTGCCCCCAGCTATTCTGCCAAATCTTGGCTGAACAAGGGTCTTCATTTCTCTACACTTGGCTTCTCAACTGCAAAATAGAGTTACCAGGATGCCTACCTTGGAGGATTTCTGGTTAGGGGAGTGCTTGACATGTGGAAGGTGTAATACATTTTTCACCACTGACATCAGTTGAATGGGGGGGGCAGAGGATTATGGGAAATACGTGCTAATGCTCACATTCCGTGGGAGGGGGGTTCTGAGCCCAGGATTTTCTATCCATGGAGAGGGTCATTATTTCTCAATAGGTATTCATTGAGCATCTGCTGTAAGGCAGTGAATGGAAGTCAGTGAAGGCCATAGTAACTTTTGTGACATAAAAAGATAATACATGGGCATATCATATAATTTTTAAGATGACAAGGAGAAAATATAGAAAGAGTGCAATATAGGGCATGTGATCCATTTTTGATGGGGTAGTTCCAGGACCCCTCAGTGACCGAGTGAGCTCCTTCAGGAACTGAGGAGGAGTCGGTGGGGCGACAAGACCACCACCTACAGGATGTCCTCTGACCTCATTACGTCACATCGCTCTGCCAGGCCATTGCATTCAAGACTTAATTTGCCAGGCAGTGGTGGTGCACGCCTTTAAACCCAGCACTCCGGAGGCAGAGGCAGACAGATCTCTGTGAGTTCGAGGCCAGCCTGGTCTACAGAGCGAGTTCCAGGACAGCCTCCAAAACGAAACAGAGAAACCCTATCTCACAAAACCAAACACCCCCACCCCAAAGAAAACAAAGCTTATTTTGAGCACAAATGGATTGTTTTTCAAGCTCTTTTCCATTTCCACAAGCTTACAGTTCTGGGTCCCTGTGCAAATATTTCCTGTCTCTCTTGGGTGAACAGAAGGTTTGAGTGGTGTTTATAAAGGGAACGAAGATGCCTCCGGTGCACAGCTTCATGCTCAAAGTCAAGTCAGCTCAGACCTATGGGAGAAAAGGAAAACCCATAGTAAATAAGCACTGTGGCTCTGTCCAACCCCCTTGATCCTTTGGTTCTAAAATGTCTCTGTGATCACAGGGGAGGGAGGTAAACATCCTCAGTGTGGATGAGACAGGCCGTCCCCTGAGAAGTAGGCAAGCACATCCCCATGGTGAACCGTGGCAAATAAAATGAGCAGAAAAAGAAGGTCGTTATAATGCGCATTTCAAAGGACCTGGAGCTTGGAGTTACGTTTTAACATGTCAATAACACGGAGATCCTAGAGAAAACATTCCAGTCTGAAACTCAGGATTTTTTTTTTGTGAAGTCATCAAAAATTGATGTCGTAGATATAAAACAATTTGTGCAAATGAGATATACCAGAATTAGGTTTTCTTTAGATTTTTTTCTTATTTTTATGTATGCATTTGTGGCTGCATGAGTTCATGTGTACCCTATAGGTGCAGATGCCATGCTCTGGAAGTGTGGAGCTCCCAGCAATCTTGAGCTACCTGCTGTGGGTGCTGGGAACTGAATCCAGGCTGTCTGCAAGGCAATCATCTCTCCGCACCATTGAGCCATCTGCCCAGCCCATTACCAGAACTGTTGGTAGCCAAGTAATAGACCTCAAGGTTTCCACAACAACTAGTATTTGGAGGTTGAGATTGGCTCCTCATTTCTTGGCCTGATCTAGGCACAGAGACCCATCAGTGAATTCAGTGATGGGCTATCTTGGGCTTGTCATGTAATCTGTGCATTCAACAGGACCAAGCAGCTGTAAGTGGGATGGTTATCCATCCCAGACTGTAGGAGAGTCGAATGTAGTTGCTTCCTGCTATAGCAGGAATATTCAGAGGAAATGTTGGGATGTGAGGGAAATGTGGAATGGTTGAAAAGATTTTTGACAGCTAATCTCTAAAGCAAAGCTTCAGAGACTTGTAAATCAACCAACTCATCATCCAATTCTGATGGTATTTCTGAGGAACTCTATTTTGTTTGAACTAAAACATTGTCTGGAAATGACGGAAGCATGAGTGAGGTGTGGGTAGTTACAGCTGGCATCAAACGCACCATTTTTTATTAGGTGTTACGACTCTAGGTTCATGTCCTGTTCAGGGAAACGGAAATAACAGCACCATCCCTGAGTTCAGTGAGCTGATGTAGGTGACTGCATCACGAGAGTCCAGAACTTGATTAAAAACGGGAGGGGGTGTATTTGTGAAAGAAAACGGACATCCTGCTTCTACTCCTGAAATGCCAAGGGCCACAGAGCAGCCTGCCGGAGCCACAGACAGCCACTTTCTTGTCATTTTGGGAACTCCCAGATCAAGGTCTGCTAGGGCTGGTTTCTTTTGAGCCTCTCTGGCTTCAAGAGGCCTGACCTCCTTGTATTCTTGCATTGTCTCTCTGTACACATCTGTGTCCAAATTCCCCCTTACTATATGCACATCAGTTAAATTGAATAAGGGCCCAGCATAACTGCCTAATCTTAGCTACCTCTTTTAAAAGTCTTGTCACCAAATGTAGTCACATACCCAAGGCTTGGGGACTAGGGCCCCGACATATGAACTTAGGATACTGACAGTAATGGAGTTAAGTCCAAAACAGTAACAGCGGGGAATGATGACAGTCATAATGACAGGGAGGAAGACGGTGGAGCTGCCACTACCTGAAATGAAGAGCCTATGGCTAGGAAACAGAGACCCCTCGGGCTCCTGTGGGGCTTCCGTATGTTCTTCCACCTTACCCCGTCCAGGTATTCAGAAAGGGTTCAGGGCGAGCAAGTTGTCTCTTTCCTGTGTACCGCATTGCTCTTGCCCACTGGAACAAAGAGTAGTGGAGAAACTCCACGCCCATGACAAACATGGAACCTCCCGCTTCTCCTTTGAAAATAATTGATGATGTTTATGTCCATATTTGCTAACAGTTGAACTGGAATGATGAAAGGAGAAAAGGTAATGGTTTTAAACATCAATTTTAGAAAATTAGATTCATGTTCTGAAACACATATGTGTTAGTTAGTATTCAGGCATCTGCACTGGCCTGCCCTTGGGGTCCTGACAGGACACGCCCTCAGCTGCAGACACTAAGAGCACCACCTGTGCACACACACTATGTTCCCTTTTAAAAGGGCCCCGCCCACCTCCCATCCTCTCTCTTCCTCTCTGCTCCTTTGCCTGTCTTTGTCCTCCCTCGCTCCCCCCCTCCTTCCCCCCTCCACTCCTGTTCCCAGAGGCCAGTTCCCCCTCTCCCCCCCCCTTTCCCATCCACTTTCCCCCAATAAAAACCCCTCCACCCAAGCTCTGCCACAGGGTGTCTTCCTCTCACACTCCGCTGCTTTAAATTAAAACAATATGAAGACTTGATTATATGTTTTATAAGACTTAAGTAATGTTTTATAGCTTGATGAGTCCTGGCTTTCTTCCATGTAGTAGGTAAGTTTTCTTGAAATCACCTAACTAAATGGATCATGTAACTCAGTACTTCGTTGCAAGGTAAATGCCCAAGGGAATTGTCCAAACAATGACCACATCCAAATGAGACCCTGATGGAACTGTTTCCAGGACCAAAGCAATGTATCGAATTTCTCTCAAGTGGGAAGCATCGCTGTTAAATTTTCAATTTGCCAGTTTTGAATCCCAGATCCGCTATCCATTTTTGGACTGTTTATGTTCCCTGAACCTCAGTGATGTATGGGTGAACGGGAAGCAGTGATTGCATTAGTCTGACAGGATGAGTGAGGGCCGAGTGTTCACAAAGAATCTGGAGCAGCACCAGTGTCACAGAGGGCCCCAAGGTGGCAGATATTTACAATTCGTAACAGCAGCAAAATTGGAGTTACGAAATCACTTTATGTTTGGGGTCACCACAACACGAGGAACCATATTGAAGGGTTTGGAAAGCTTTGGAAATGTTGAGGACCACGGCCCTCAGGGGTGGTTGACAGAGAAGATATGGGTAATTATATTCTCTCATCACTTGCAAGGGTTAACCCTCCATATTTTCTTGTAGTCACACTGGAAATACAATAACCAGTGCCAGGCTTAGAAGTGAAGCAGAGAGAAGAAAATGCAAGCCAGAGTACATGTTCCTTTCAGCTACTCATGAAGTTCTTCCTACCCTTGGGCTGCTGAAGTGGGCTTGTCACCAAGCCATCAGCCCATCTGTTCCCTATAAAAATATCTCCTTGGTTGTGAAGCAGAGTGAGTCGATTCGGATGATTTCAAGAGGAAAGAACTTGTAAGTTTAGAATTCGGTGGGTTCATTCATGTGCAGTGTACTTGGTTGACAGCAAGTTGGGATTACATCTGAATTTAAATAAGTGATGGCAGGCATTGGGCCCATGTTCACACTAGCACTCACTCTTACACGCATTGCTCCCTGGAACACATCGGGGACAGGACTAGACTTAACAGCTACAGATCAAGGAGATCCCCACAAAGCAATCCTTGCTGTATGAAAAGAATGTTCTTCCTCTTAATTTTCCCGTAATACCAAGCAATACTCCTGACGGAACACGTTATCCTGTTTTAAGTAATTTCAACATTCCCTGGATGCTCTCCAGACTCTACTGGCTATCAAATCTCTGGAACTAGATGAACAGGAAAAATCTAAACACGCTGATCCTGTAATACCAGCCTAGAGCTGAGGTGCAGGGAGTTTCTGGAATGAACTTACATACCCTTTCAACTTTCCTTTTTCAAAGACAGGTCTCGTGCAATGCACATCATCCTCAAACTTGTTATAATAGTCAAAGATGACCTTGAGCTCCTGTCCTTTATACCTCTGTGTCCCTAGTTCTGGTGTTACAAGGGTTATACCACACCAGGCTAGGTTTTTGAACCAACTCTACAAGGAAGGCAGGACATTGTGTGTGTGTGTTGTGTGTATTGTGTCTGTGTGGTGTGTGTGTGCATAAAGTAGTTGTCCTAAATATTAAGTACATGGCAGTGCCAGGACTCACACCCAGTAAATTCATTCAGCAACCATGCTAGACAGCAAAACTTACAGGTTCATAAACATAAAGATGAGCACAAGCACAGATCTTTCAGGAAGCTCCATCACTGGGCACATTGGTGAATTTAGGAATGGTAGGATAAGTTAGAAGAAGCAATCCATTGGACCTGTGAGTCACCTTAAGGAGTCTAGCCTTACTCTGGACACAGTGGGAATGGATTGAGTCTTAGAGATAGGTGACGCTGTTCCAAATCCTTACTAGAAAGGAATTAGCCTACAGGAGGGTACAACACCAAATAAACTGTCTAAAATAACAGTATAGAGGAGGGTTCCTTGTGTTCATGGTGAAAGGAGAGCAAATATTAAGTGGGGGGGGGGAGAGGAATTGCTCATGAGGACCACTAAGTGACCACCCGGTCCCAGGCAACTCTAGGAATCGGATTTCCTTAGCAGCAAGCGGCCTTAGGGAGGAGCATGGGAAGACCTTAGCCTCCCCAGCCACAAGGACTCTGATCAGCATCGGTAATGATCTTCTTTCAGCCGAGGTCCCCATGGGCGGAGCAATGGAGCATCTTCCCACAAGGCCGGCAGCAGCCCACCGTCGCCAAGGGAAAAGGACCTAGTGTCTATCCTGTGCAGGAATCCATTGAGTCCCAATAGCATCCACCCCAGCTACGCCCCTTCTTCTCCAAGCAGCAGCAACTCGGGCTCCTACAAAGGAAGTGACTGTAGTCCAGTAATGAGGTGAGTCCCGTTTGCCTCTGAGCGCAGGCCTCTTATTTTGTCCAGTTTGGGACTTCAGTTAAGAAGGGAAAACCGTGTAACTCTTGATTCCCTGCTTTAACCTGTCCTGAGATGCTTCTCTTCTTTGTCAGTTAGCTAATCCTTTAAGGGTCCATGCAGAAACAATACAAACCCCCAGCTGAGACAGCACCGGGCAATCCAACTCATTAGTGGACAGGGAGGGGAATGGCACAGTGACAGGGAGTTGTTCGCATTTCATGGGCACGGGAGGATTTGTGCTGGGGTTCATTCCTTCGCTGGATGCTTAGAGAGTAGCAGGCTGGTCTTCAGCACCAGGAATGGAGGGTGAACAGAAGTGGGCTTACCGCCCACACTGCCCAAAGGAGGAGGAGTCTAATATAAAAACCAATGTAGACTATTCTGCAAGTGTCTAATGCTATGTAAGAAGCGGAGTAATCAGAGAGGCCACACTGACGGAATAAAAGGTGACATGTAAAAGGCGAGTGGGGGCATTCATAGTAGGGGAGGGGGGTGGGGAGGGGAGGAGGGCTTGGAGGGTTGGGAACTGAATGTGGCCATATTGAGCACAGCATAGGCACAGGGGGCGAGCGGCATGGGAGCCTGAATTGAGCCCAGAGTTGGAGGAGAGCCTGGCAGCCCTCCATGGCCATTCCTCCCCAGCAATCCCTGTTCTCATTAGTCAGCTCTTACAGCCCTGGATGCCCGGGCTTGGCCAGGCCTGCGAAGGGCCAAGATTCCAGCTGGGCTGTGTTTGCAGAACACGGAGTGCTTCTCCACAAAACACACTGGGAAGAGTGAGGTGGCCTTGTTCCCACTGGACAAGGAACTTTCCATGCCCACCAGATCAGAACGCTTACGCTGCCACTGACCTCAGGACAATCTGAATTCAAGGAATTATAAGCAAGATATTCAGGCAGGGCCAAACGATGAGGGAACTTAGGTCGCCTAGTCTCCGCCTTCCCTCCTGGCCCCCCTCTCCCACCCCACCGTGTTCTTTCCGGCTACTGCCGGAGTGAGAGCAGAGGTCCACAGCAAGCATGCGCAAATTCACATGCCATGGTTCCTAAGCCTTACAACGCCCCCGCACCACCCCATCAGTCCGCAAACACGCACGTGCCGGTCTGACGTGCGACAAGCAGTCCCAGGGTTGGCCGGGGTGTCGCAGTCCATCTTCTGACAGCTATGCGTTCTGAGACTTAGGACTCCAGCACACTGCTGCCATCTGCTCGAGCTGTCAGCTGTGTCCAGAGTGCCACAGAGCGGGTGACATTAGACAGGAGCACAAGAGAGACGTTTGCTCACTCCTGGGGACTGAGTCTGGAATGGTGCCCGCGTGAACAAGTCATGGTCAAGCTTACTTATGTGCTGGAGACTCCTCTTGTTTTTAATTTTTCTATTTAAAAGCAATCTTATTTTACATACCAGTCCCAGTTCCCTCTCCTTACCTTCCTCCCATCCCTCCATCAACCCCCCATCCCGCCCCTCCATCCACTCCCCATGGAGGGTGAGGCCTCCCATGGGGGATCATTAAAGTCCAACACATCATTTGGGGCAGGCTCTCCTCCGTGTATCTATCTATGCTGAGAGTAACCCTCCATGGGGAATGGGCTCCCAAACCCCACGGGTGCAGTAGGGATAAATACTCCTCTTGATTGAACCTTCACAAAGAAAGTGGTCTAAAGAGTTTGTTTTGGCATATTTTAATGGTAGGAAATAAGGTTTTCATTGTGACTTTTAATACATGCATATAATGCATTCAGGTCATATTTATTCTTCATTTCCTGCATCTTCCTGGTAGTTAGGATCCTTGATAAGGGGATTAATCCCATGGCAGAGGCTCTGTGCTCATTATGTCGTAATTACCTCCCAATTTTGGGGGGGGGGTGTGCACAGACATGCAGTATGTCACCATCCTTTCCTGCAAAGAGTAACACCTTATTCCTCGGATCATTTCAGGCGGTCTGGAAGGTATATGTCCTGTGGAGAAAATCACGGGGTCAAACCCCCCAACCCGGAACAGTACTTGACCCCTCTGCAGCAGAAGGAGGTCACAGTGAGGCACCTGAGGACCAAGCTGAAGGAGTCTGAGCGCCGACTTCATGAGAGGTAAATGTGGAGTTTTCTACACTCCGGGGCTTAGCAGTCCCTTCTTTCCAGGAAGTGACCTAGGAGGCAAGGCTACGCAGGAGGATGGAGAAGAAAACGGCTCTATTAAGTTTACAGTCTTCAGTTCCGCCCAGTTGATTGCAGAAGCTCACAGTAGCTAGTAGGTTAGAGGGGACCCTGCCTCCTGGGTGTGCTCAGCTTGCCATGAGGAATTGGGTGTGGACGTGCCTATTTTTAAACGGCAGGAACAATCCCCTGCTTCCGGTAGAACGAACGGGTCACAGTGGCCCCCTCAAGCCCTGAGGGTCTCTGGAGAGAGTAGATGGCTGTGCATACGGTGACTCCTGCCAGCTATTGCCATGCTGAAGGAAGTGCCTAGTTATTCTTGGACTGCCATTGAGGCTTAAGGGAGGGGGAGACCAAAACAACCCCAGAAAAACTTTTGACACGTTGGGAGTAAGCCAGATTTTCTGCTTCGTGGTTTTCTCTTAAAACTTGTCAAGACAAGGTGACTACCAGACAGACTAGGTGCTTAGTGAAGGTAGCATTTACATTCTCTGGGAACTGACCTGCTCCATTCTCCTCCTCTGCTGCCACAGGGTAAGAACCTGTGACCGTGGCGGTAGAGTGAGGACAGACAGTACAGGGGAGGAATTTTTATCTTCCTATTTAATGTTGTTCTTTACCCGACAGAAAGAGACTCGAGACCCGAGCTCACCTCCGGGTGGACTTTTGTGATTTAGGAAAAGTCCTGGGGAAGTTTTGAACCCTTGTAAGAGAAAGCATCAAAAGGCAGGAAACCTTGATAAAATAGCTCTCAGATACATGACACTATCTATGGACTGCCTGATCTTTGTATTCACAAGTAACATGAGGATACACATTTGCACTAGCTTTGAAGAAATTAGATGTAAGGACCTGCTGGCAAAGGTTTGAAAATAGGTTATGGCTGGGCGTTGGTGGCGCACGCCTTTAATCCCAGCACTTGGGAGGCAGAGGCAGGCGGATCTCTGTAACTTCGAGGCCAGCCTAGTCTATAAGAGCTAGTTCCAGGACAGCCTCCAAAGCCACAAAGAAACCCTGTCTCTAAAAACCAAAAAAAAAAAAAACCGAACAAACAAAAAAAGAAAATAGGTTATGATGAATGAGAAGACATCTCAGAGCTCAGAGTCACCTCAGTGAGCAATAGGTTCACGATGCTCTTTCCTGAGGTGACACAGACTAAGCAACTTTTACAGCACTTTACGGTTTAAAAAGGTATCACTGGAATATACGGACAGTTACACATGGCTATGACTGATAATCTCAGTAATTAAAAGTGATATGGCCTCTTCATCTAGGGCTCTCCGGACACATTATGAAAGAGTTAAAGTACGGAGTTAGACGTAGGCTAAGACACTAAGAAAGAAACATCAAATACTAAGTTTGGAGTAGAGCATGAAGCCAGCAAAGTATTTGGTACATCCAATCCCTGCCTCCACAGTGAGTATTCAAATAGGAAACAATGGCAGCTATTTTGATTCTGATGCCGGTTACTATTATTAGCTCAGCTGTTTTATAATTAAAAGGGGAGGTTCCATGGCTACTACTTGCCAAAAAAAAAAAAAAAAGCTGAACTTGAAAGTGCTTTACCTTCTGGGTTTCCCGTGGAAGAGCCCGGGCCTTGGTCTGCGGTCGATTGTCCGTTGTGTTTCAGAGCGGGCTTGTAACTGTGCCTGCTTTTCCTCTAGGGAATCTGAAATCGTGGAGCTCAAGTCTCAGCTGACTCGGATGAGAGAAGACTGGATTGAAGAAGAGTGCCACCGAGTGGAGGCCCAGTTGGCGCTCAAGGAAGCCAGGAAGGAGATCAAACAGCTCAAACAGGTCATTGACAGCATGCGCAGCAGCCTGTCTGATAAAGACAAAGGCATTCAGAAGTACTTCGTGGACATAAACATCCAGAACAAGAAGCTGGAGTCTCTGCTGCAGAGCATGGAGATGGCGCACAACAGCGCCCTGAGGGATGAGCTGTGTCCAGACTTCTCCTGTGATTCCCCAGAGAAAAGCTTGCCCCTCAGCAGCCCCTTCGGCAAGATGGTGGATGGGCTCTCCCTGGAGGAACAGGTCACGGAGGAAGGGGCTGACACCGAGCTGCTCTTGGGAGACAGCATGGCCGAGGGCGCAGATACGTTGGATGAGATGGCCACCACCGCAGAATCCGGTGAGCTGGAGTTTGTTCATTCCACCCCGGGGACGCTGGCCCTCGAGGCTCTCCCCTTGGTGAGCCTGGTGGAGCAGGCGGTGCAGACCGACGTGGTGCCCTTCAGCCCGGCCATCTCGGAGCTCATTCAAAGCGTTCTGAGGCTGCAGGACTCCTGCGCCACCAGCTCGGCGTCCCCAGACGCATCCGGAGCTGACTCAGTGGGAAGCTTCCCAGAATCCATCTCTGCCTTAATGCTTGACTTGACTCCCACAAGCCCCAACTCAGCCATCCTCCTGTCTCCCGTGGAGATGCCATTGGGCGAGGCAGCCAGGGAAGTGGGTACCAACCACCTCATGAGCGAGCTCGACTTCGCGGCTCACTCGGAAGAGAGGCTGGACGGCGTCCTCCCGCTGTCTCCGGGGGGCGCTGTGAGACAGTACTGGAGCAGCAGTTTCTTGGTGGATCTCCTGGCCGTGGCTGCCCCGGCGGTCCCCACAGTCGTGTGGGCGTTCAGTACTCAGAGAGGGGGTACAGATCCCCTCTACAACATCGGAGCCCTGCTCCGGGGCTGCTGCGTGGTGGCCCTCCACTCGCTGCGCCGCACAGCCTTCCACATCAACACCTAATTCGTCGTTACCTTTGTGTGCGTCCATCTGTCCGTCCGTGCGGTGGTGGTATGCCAGGTAGAGCAGCAGCAGGTGGGCCTGAGCGACTCTGCCATCTGTCGCCTCGCTCCTCTCGCTATTGGATTTGCACTCTAGTCAGCTGAAGCCTGTTCGGGGTTTAAGAAGCAGAGGTTATCTTCCCAAGGCATGGAAACCTGGTTCTGGTAGACGGCCCCACCAGCGTGGTATAGGAAGAAGCATGCTTAACGCCCCTGCCGTGTCGTCTGACGTGCCCGTCCCTTAAGCAGCTTGCACTTTCATCACAGCCTCTCCAAGGCTGGCATGTTCTCTCCTTCGCTTTGTGCCATCTCAGAGTGTGTGACTGTGACTGTCCCAGCATTCCAGTGGTCTTGTGCATAGCAGGGGCCTGTGACCAAAAATCAAAGTGTGTTTGTGTGACTGGTTCAAAGAACACGTGAATAGCTCTTTACCGTCTTTCTTGGGGTTAAGGTGTGAGTGTTTGCTTTTTTTTTTTTATTAAATGTAGCTCCAAAGTCTTTTAAAAGGCTCATTTGCTCTTAAACCTGTCAGTTGATGGAACTCTGTAAATTTACGATGTTACACTGTACTAACTTATTTTTTGCTTATTATATATATATATAGTGTTTTATTGGGAATTGTTTGTACCCACACAGGTCAGCATGAAAATAAAAATTAGTGTTTCCATTTAAATGTTTATGTCTCCTATAGTTGTGAGTTCACTGCTATACAAGACCAAGTAAGTAGATCATTGTTTATCAATCATATTCTATAAAGGGTTAAGTAAGCAAATGAGAAAGCAAGAATAGTTATTAAAGAAAGGGGAGGGGCTGGAGAGATGGCTCAGTGGTGAAGCGCAGAACTTAGCTATTGCTGTGGAGAATCTGAATTCTGTTCCCAGCACCCATGTGGCTCACAACACCTTTTTTTGGTTTGTTTTTAAGACAGGGTTTCTCTTTGTTTTGGAGCCTGTCGTGGAACTCGCTTTGTAGACCAGGCTGGCCTCGAACTCACAGAGATCTGCCTGTCCCTGCCTCCCGAGTGCTGGGATTAAAGGTGTGCGCCACCAATGCCCAGCTTCACAACACCTTCTTACCAAACACTAATATACGCAAATACCTTTCCCTCCCCCCCACACACACTCTTAAGAAAAAGTTGTTTAAAAAGAAAGGTAAATATGTCCTTCCTTGAAAAGATTATTTCTAAAACAAGAGTAGCTCTGTTTATCTTAAATCAGCCATGCGCCTGCTTGCACACACAATCAGTAGCATGTAGTAACTCTTTCCGGGAGAGGTGGGTGGTTTTGAAGTTTGCTAGAGACTAGAGCTAACCTCCCTCTCCTGGGAAGAGCACCATGCATCCTCCTCCCTGTTCACTGACAGCATTGGGACGGATGCCTCAAGCCTTGTGAAGAGGGTAGTCTACTTTACAACCAGAGCTGAAAAGCCTCAGAGGGCAAAACTGCTTACGATCTATCTCTAGGTTCACCTTCAGAAGCCAGGGTTTTAAGTGTCTGCAATCAAAATGCCTCTTTTACCCTACTACAGAGATGGAGCTGATCTGGTAATAGCTTCTCACCCCCAAACTTTCCCTCCATAGCACCTAAAATATAATGTACTGTCATTGTTGGTTATTTATGCCTTTACTGTCTTATTACCCATATCTCCCATTGATTTTAGTTCTGTGAACAGGGCAGGGGTGTGTGTTCTGTCTGATATCAAGAAATTAGAAAAGAAACTGGCACAGAGACCTGAAAATCATTGCATAAAAATTCATCCAACAGCCACCTACTGAAATCTCGCAAGCCACATAGCCACTTCGATCAACATATGAAGACCCAGTGGTAGAAAAGGGTTCCACGTATGTTAGGAAGCATGGAGGGGAGGCCAGGATGGCAAAGAGAATGGAAGGGAATAGACAGGAAGCTGGTTCACAAGGGGCATGTAAACCAAACCACATGGTTTGGGTTTACTTTCAGTGCAATGAGAAAATAGTAATGAATTTAAGCAGAACAATGATAAGTTTTTATCAAAACCAACTGCTGGGTGCAGGGGGTATTGTGGTTGGGCAGGAATGAGAACAAGGAGACCAAGGACAGTTCTCTTTTCACAGGGCACATGAGAGATCGACTACTGCGGAAGAAGGTAAATTTGAATAAATATAGAAAAGAGTAATAGGTGAGAGGAAAGGATGGGTAACGGGAAAAGGAAGAAACTGAGGCTAACTCAAAGGTTTCCAGCTTGAACAACTACATCAATGAGTACCGTTTGCTGAAAATGAAGAGTTCAAGAGAATCATGTTCGGCTAAGAAAAAAGTTTGTGATGTTATGCCAGTAAGTAACTGCATATATACGTACGATGATCCCAGGAGATGCCAAGGCTACTTATAGAATTTGGGCTCCTTGATTCTGCATAGTATTTAAAAACACTAAACAGATGAAATCGTCCAAGAAATGGGAAAGAATGCCAAATACATGTCCTGTCTTACTGCCACATTTAGACAAAAGTGAGGAATGAAAACCTGACAAAGCCAGAGATGGGGTTGCCCAAAAGATGAGGGAAATGAGGTGAATGGAGCAGGAGCAACACTTATTTGAGTGTAGTGTTAAAACTCTATGAAGATGTATACTATGAAAACAATGTATTCACTGGCTTTGATGGCAAAGTCTTAATGGCTTTGTCAGTTCACCTTTATGGGAGACTTAGGGAGGGAAGACAGACTGGACCAGCCTAAAGCGTGAATGGAAGACCAGAACCTTACTTGTCAAAGCCATGGCCACATCCCCAGGTCTAGCTCCAGATGTCCACCAACTCACCTTGCCTGATGAGTTCCACCAAACCAGCTCCGCCTGAACCAACCCCACATTCCCAGGTTTGGTACAATTGTCCGGTTCCTTCACTGGTCTGGTCTTGTGAGCTCTGCCAGAACCAAGTGTCTTAGTTTGGGCTTCTATTACTGTGAAGCCACACCATGAACAGGCAACTCTTATTAAGGAAAACATTAATTGGGTGGTTTACGGTTCAGAGTCCTTTATCGTCATGGTGGGCCCTGGCAGCGTGCAGGCAGACATGGTGCTGGAGACGGAGCTGAGAGTCCTACCTCTCTGACTCACAGGCAACAGAAGGTAGACTGGAACACTGGGTGGTATCTCGAGCAGAGGAGACCTCAAAGCCCATCACCATGGTGAGACGCTTCTTCCACCAAGGCCACAACTATTCCAACAAAGCCACATCTTCCAGTAGTGCCATCCCCTATGAGCTTGTGGGGGTCAATGACTCTAAAACTACCACACTAAGGGAGCTGGAGAGAATGCTCTGAGTTCAATTCCCAGCAACCACAAGCTGTCTCACAACCATCTCTAATGAGATCTGGTGCCCTCTTCTGGTGTGCAGGCATGCATGAAGGAAGCACACTGTATACAAATATAATGATAATAATAATAATTATCACACCAAGTCACCTGTGCTGTCTCCATACTTCCAGTCCTAGATCTGGCCACACTGCTCCTGCCTCAGCCACACCTGAGGTGGGCTAGAATCTCAATCAGACACACAACCAATGAAAGAAATCCATAAACCCAGGTCACATTACAAAAACAATATGAAAGGCCAAGACAACAGCCCCCCCCCCAATCCACTGTAGAAATGTCATGTGGAAGTGTTCTAAAATGAGAATTACATAGATGAACCCTAGAATACAGAATTGAAAAGAATAGTCATAGACATGAAAGAATTTATGAAGATATAAGCAAATACCTCTAGGAACTTAAAGAGGCTAGGAGTAATATGAAAAAATCCTAAATGATGTTCATGAAAACACAAATATTCAGCTGTTGAGAGTGACGAATATAATTGAGGATTTGAAAACTGAATGCAATAAAAAGATACGAATATATTGAAGAGAACTATAGGAAGATGGAATGAAATATTAAAAAACCCTCAACAGCCCAATTAGAAAACAAACCATACAAGACTTGATGTGTAGGACTTCATACTCTAGCTCAACAGCTAGGAAATGGAAACAAACTAAATGCCCTTTAACTGAAAGACAAGAAAGTGTGATGCATATACTCAATGGGAATCTATTCCATTATAGAGTGATGAAATTGTATAACTTCAGGCAAATGAGTGGAACTACAAAATATTATACTTAGGCAGCCAGGACCTCAAAGGACAAACACTGATGTTTTATCGTGGATCCTAGCTCTGAATCTTCAGATATGAGTATATCACCTGAGGTAATTTCAGAAGCCAGCAAAGTAAAAAGGGACCATGGGGCGGGAATGAGGACTTCTAGAGGGGGATATTAGGACACAGTTGCTATGACAGGGAAAATGAGAAAAATGAGGGAGGAACTATAGGAGGAGTTTTTTGTTGGGACTGCTGGCTCCCCAGTAACCACACAGAGAGTTATTATTAATTATAAATGTTTGGCTCATAGCTTAGGCTTGTTACAAAAGCTCTTACAACTTAAATTCACCCATAATTCTTATCTACACTCTACCATGTGGAAGTACCTTTTTTTAGCACAGCATGTTCATCTTGCTGTTCTCGGAATTTCCTCATGACTCCCCGTGATTCTGTCCTTCCCAGCGTCCTCTCAGTCTGGCTCTCCTGACTCACCTCTCCCTGCACAGCTATTGGCCAGCGGCCTTTTATGAAACCAATCAGAAGCTGTTTTGGCAAAGGAAAAATCTTCACAGTGTATAAAAAGATTATACTATAATGTTTCCCCCTTTTTGTCTACAAAGGAAGGTTTTTAACTTCAACATTTTGTTGTAAAACTATATATAACAAAAACTATCAAGAATTATAGTTACACTATCCAGCCAATTTTTATCTGGCAAAACTAGAGAAAATACTATCTAATATTTGTGAGTCCAAAGTTTTGAACCTAATTTACCTTTCATCATAACTAAGGAAATCTTTAAGTCTGGTTAGTCTTTAACTATGTCAAAGACCCCACACTGGTGTATGTTACCTAACAACAAGGACATCTGGCTGCCTGGACAGTCACCCAAAGTTCCCCTAGAGCTCTGCGCACCCATCATTGGCCTAGAGGTCTAATATATCTGACAGACATTTCTGAGAAGCAGGGAATTTTGAAGATCTTTCCTACCTTGTCTCGTCAAAGTTTGGCAGTCGCTTTTGTGTCCCTCTGGTCCAGTTTAAGCAACTGAGGCAAGGGCAGTTTCTTTGCCCAGTGGATAGCTTTTGCCAGGAAGAAAATAAACTCCATCTGGAGCTTCTCCAATGTCCATCATCTTCTCTGAAGTAAATGGGTGCTGCCAGGAGCAGATGTGTCTCACTGTCGTGAAAAGCCTTAGGTTGTTAAACACCTTAAATGCCATTGAAGTGTTTGAAAATCATCTATCTAAATATATCTGTTTAACCTTGAAAACAAAACTAATAGGACTACAAGTTTGATTATTATAGATGACTACTAACCTGTATTTCTTATACATTTTTAAATGAGCGGTATAAGCACAATACCAAACAAGAGTAGAAACATGCATACATTCTAACAAAAATAACTTTAAATTTATATCAATAAACTGAAATCCATACCAATGTTGGTTTTTTTTGCATTAAATAGATGTAATAATATATTCTTTTAAAAAAAAACCACCATTTCTATATTCCCCTGTTTTGTTTTTTTCAGGAGATCTTTGAATCTAACTCCTTTAGTTTTT